AATGCTGGGAAAGAAACTTTACAACTATTGGAGCCTCCTGAAAGTCATGCAAGGAGCTTCAGAGCTCTGACTTTCATGAATCATCACCTGTGCTGGGTGGGCATTGTAGTGATACAACTGCCTTTGAGTAATCCATGCTCCTGTTAGTAATTCCTCAGCCATGCTTTTTAGTAAGCCCAGCAGACATTAGTTTGCAAAGCTGAACTTTGGGGGAATCATTACATTGATCTGCCATTGTTGCCTTTATCTGAAATAAAAAGTTTTTTGTTGTTTTAGTTTTTTTTTTTAAACAAATCAAAATGAAGGGGGTAGGAGAAAGAACTAGAGTTATAAAAGGGGATTTCCTGGTTGTGTTGTCCTTTAGTCCACCAATGAAAAGTTCCTCGGTGCTATGTTTGACCAGTCAGGAGCTGGCTGCCTTCTCTCAAAGCCACTCTTGCTATTCTCTCCTAAACTCTTACCTCGAGCTCCTCACATGTCTGTAACATCCAGAGACCCAAGAGCTTTTGCCTGGAGCTGACATGAGGACTCCTTAGTGACAGATGCTTGGCACTCCAAGTATCTATATGAAAGATTCCAGAGTCAGAGTTCAGTCCCCTGGACCTTAGCACCAGATCCGTTGTTTCTTGTTCATAGACTCAAGGTCTGCTGGAAGATTTTCCCTAAGAAGTGCCTAGGCTGCCCAAGTACTTGTTTCTTAACCTTGCTGTGGGCTTGTTTCCTCCCTACTCTCCTTTCTTTCCTTTTACAACTACTTTTTCTTTTTTATTTTCTTTAAGTGTTTTTATGTGTATAAAGTTTTAATTGAATATACATATATATGTCTATGTACTACATATATGCACTGTTCATAGAGGTCAGAAAATGATGTCAGAGCCCATGGAACTAAAGTTACAGATAATTGTGAGTTACTATGTGTGTACTGGAAATCAAACCTGGATCATACAGAAGAGCAGCCAGTGCCCATAATGCTTGAGCTCTTTTTATGGCCCTAATTTTCTTTAATTATTTAAAAAATAATGACTGCTTTTGCAGCACATATATTAAAATTGGAATAAGTTATCATGGTTCCTGTGGTGCTAGGATGACTCACAAGTTTGTGAAGAGTTCCATTTTTAAAAGAAAAAAATCAAACTAATATTGTAGACGAGATGCTGTGATAGACAAATAGCCCATGAGATGGTAAATGCTTCTAACCACAAATGCATATGGCACAGTCCTGGTCGGGTAACTTGCCATGTAACGGGGCAGACAGACAGGTGGTTAAGTCAGTGCATTGGTGACAAGCTCACAGGTGAACACCTGAGAAGTCATCAGGCTTAGGTAAGAGTTCACAGGTATCAGTCTTTTGTTGCAACTCTTTGTGTTGAGATGATGTCATTTAATGTCACTTGGGAGTGAATGGGATGAGGTGGGCAGCCAGTCAGAACTGACAGTGTTGGGCATGCAGCAGGAACAGTGGGATGAGGTGCTCCACCCTTGCCAAGGGGGCAGCTGGTTCTGGGACACTGAGAATAATGCATGAAACTCAGAAAGCTGGGGGGGGGGTCCCAGAGAGCAGATAGCACACATAAAGCTCATATCTCAGAGTAAAATGTTATATATAGTAAAAGCCAGAATAGTATGCTCAGTCAAAATGCTGATTCAGGAACCCAGTATTCCATTCTGATTTCTATAGGTGATAACTGTCTTAAGGTACGGGTGTTTGGGAAGAGAAAAGGCTACTCTGTGGTAAGATCACAATAGAGTACAGATGTCAGAATCAAGACCTAAGCTTCATCTACTGAACAGTTTGTGAGTCTGTCACTTTGTATATCTCTGAGTTTCAGACATATGTCACTAAAGGAACTAACTCCCTTTTGTTTGGGATTCCCAGGGTGAGTAAGTTGAAAGGTGAACTATAAATAATTTAAGGTGATTAATAACAAACGTGGCAGTGATTTTGTGTACACCCAACATAGTGCAGCTGATGCAATGTAGTCACACCCATGCATTTAAATTAGGTTTGTCAAAATTTCCTATTAACACTAGAGATATATTTCCTTCTGATGTTAACCAGACACTTGGAACAGGAACCCTAACCCACTCAATGGTTTTAGGTGTCCATTTTCTGGTGGAATGGTTTTGTCCACTGGTTCTGAATTTATAGCTCTCTGTCCACACAGCAAGACCATATACACGTGATGAGAGTCCCTAGTCCACTGCTGCGGGATGTTTGTTTACACTGTGTGAAGATGTGTCATTGTTATTGATTTAATAAAAAGCTGAATGACCAAAAGCTAGGCAGGAGAGGTTAGGTGGGAGTTCGGGGCAGAGAAAGGAACTTAGAAGATTAGAATCTAGGGTGTGCGAGACACACCAGTGAGATGTGGAGTAAGTTGCATGTAGAGAGTGAGAGAGAGGTAAAGGACACGTGGTAGAGTATAGATGAATAGAAACAGGTCAATATAAGTTATAAGAGCTAACTGGGAACAGATCTAAGCTAAAGGTCAAGCTCATAATTAATATTATTAGGGGGCTCGTGGCAGACAAAAAGTCCTACTACTGCCTTATCATCCTGAACAGCTTTGGCTCATATTTTGTAGATAACTTGTCAGCATGGCTGGCCCAAGATGGACTGATACCCACAATTTCTTCAGCATTGAGTCATGAGTGTTTGTGGTGATACAACTTCAAGAAGTTGTGTTGTCCTGAAAAGTGGGTTTAACCTGGTCCTGGTCAGGGTTTCTCATGACATTCTTTGGAAACTTTTTTTTTTTAAATATAAATTATAAATATTTTGAAAACCCTGAGTACTTGGATCTTGCAGTGAAAATAATCAGATGTTTTTCAATCTTGGTTTTTAAAATCAATGAACCTCTAAAGTTCTAGATGTGGTTTTTCCTGTTCCATACCTAAACTGCTATCGATTTCTCCTTCATCCTCAATGAAATGAGTTCAGGTTATGAGATGTTCTTCAGTCTTATTCTGAGAGCTCCCAGAAGTTTAGTAGACTGCTCTTTTACAGAAATATGTTTTAGAGTCTGGCAGGTGGCTGAGACAAGTGGAGGAAATAATTACAACCCAGAGGGATATTAAGTCTTACATTTTAGGTTTCAAATATGGCAAACGAATTGTTAAAAAGGGTTTTTTCATATGCTAAAATATTAGTTCCAAATATTAAAAATCAAATATAAGAACAAAACTAAATTGGACAGAGGCTAAGCAAAATGAAAACTGTTTCTGCAGATATCTTGAAAAGTCTTTAGGGAGGGTCAAGTGCCAACTGGTCAAGAATAGGGACTTACTTAGAAGCTGTGTGTTCTGGGTCCTGGGACAAAGCAGTTTCTCCCCTCAGAAATGTGTGGCCTTCCAGAAAAATGATTGTATAGGTTACTTACAGAATTGAGTGTCCATCTCTTAAAGGACTCACACAATAAGTTCCAGTGAACTACTGGTAAGACAATTATATAAATTCATAATCTGTCCAGTATTTCTCTGTTTCCCCACACACACCTCCTGACTGTCTGGTATTAATATGCATCATCGTCCTAATTTCTGAACCCTCAGCTTTGGCTCTCTCCTTGGCACACTATGGTTTTAAACTTGGCTTCCTCCCCTGACCTCCCTGTTAGAGTTTTATCGGGTCTGTCCCTCCTATGCCACCCTTCTTTACTTCTTTCCTGAAGTTGAGTATTTTCAGTCTTTGTGTTACTGGTGCCTTGGAATGACTGTTTCCTTGCTGAAGAAGCTAGCTTCTGTTTTGTAGGATGTTGAGGGCTTTGACTGGCTTCTCCCCACAAAATGCCAGCAACATTCATCATAAACAAAGGACTATTTTAATTAAAAAACTTATTAGCATACAAAGATTTAGGTTTAATTATGAAACTTTCTAACAAAGTCTGTTTCTCTTTGCTCCTCTCCCATCACCTGTTCCTCCGTTGTCCCTCTGACCTCAGTATTTTACTTCCACTTCTGTGTTAAGTGTCACCCTTGTTGCTCCTCTCAGCTCTTTCCCATTTCATGGCCTTGGTCTAGTGACATGTCTGCACCCATCCATACTCCTTTTTCTCATACACACAAGCATTAAAAATGTCCTCCCATGAGAGAAAACATGTAGGTGGTGTCTTTCTGAGTCTGGGGACTCTCACTTATGATATTTTGTAGGTCCATTCATTGCCTTAGAAATTTCACAATTTCAGTCTTTACTGGGAAGTAAAATTCCATTGTGCACACAGGCCACATTTTTATCATCCATTCTCCTGTCGATGGGCAGCGAGGCTGGGTCCACTTCCTTGCTATAGTGAATAGATAAGCAATAAACATGGACGTGTGAGTGTCACTGTGGTTGTGCCTAGGTCCAGAAACAGGACTACTGAGTTACACAACAGCTCTGGATTTGAGTTTTGCAAGTTTGCATCTTGATTTGTAGAGTAGCTTTACTCACTTACATTCCCACCCCCTCCACTCTTCTCAGAAACTTGCCCGATCTGCTCTCATCGACTTTCTTGTTTGTAACCATTCTGATTAGATGAAATGGAATCTCATAGCATTTTAATTTGCATTTCCCTGGTTCTAAACCATTTTTTTATTGCCAAAATTGTCTATCAGTATTTTGTACTCTCCTTGGAAAGCCACAACATCCCTACTTTAAATAATGGGTTACTCTATTTGAATACTTATCTAACTACAAATTCATTGTCTCTTAATTAAATGCTAGAAATCAAAGTGAACAGGGGCTCCTCCCAGTAGGCACGGGGTTCCACTGTGAGATGGATATGCACTCTGCAGTTCATAGGACACATCATTCCTTGTTAGAGACTTTGTCTTGTCCTCTTCCTCCCCCGCTGCTTCAGCTGAAGTGAGAATTAGCAGACCTGACAAATCTCTAAACTTTTCTTACAGAATTATGATCTTTTTTTTTTTTTATGCTCTAAATGTGTGCAGTGTTGGAGCTGAGAGTTACAGCGGAGGAGCATGTACCTGGGGAGGGACAGAAAACAATGACAGTGAGACACCAGTAAGTCTTTAAATAGAAGCTTTATTCTTGGTCAGAGTTAGGAACAGACACGCTACTCCACAATAAGAGTGGGAATTGAGGGCCCAGGGTATCAGACAGAGAAAAGTCTCCAGGGATGGAGTAGCCAAGGCTGGCTTTCTGTGGCCTGTGGGAGTCTTGTTTCCTCCAAACTCTCTTGTCTCAGTCCCAGGATCCAGGCTAGCAGCAACCCCCAGAGCTGTGTCCACAGCCTGAGCCCCCAGACTTCTGACCACTGCCACGGTCACAGGAGCTGCCACGGTCACAGGAACTTCCACGGTCACAGGAACTGGAGCTCCTGCGCCTGCATCTGTGGGACCTGCGCCTGTGGTGGCTCAGGAAGCAGCCTCCCTCAGAGCTGGGGACACTGCAACCCCCAGAGCTTGTAGCACAGCAGGAGGAGGCTGCAGGCAGACACTGTGCTGTGCTCTTTGGGAGGCACTTCGGGGAGGGGCACTTGGGAGGAGGCTGGCACTGCTTCTGGTTCTGCTGGTAGGACATCTTTCAGGAGTCAACCTGGTAAGCAAAGAAAATAATCATCAGTAATGTACAATCCAGTGTCTCCTTATCTCTGGAATTGTCTTCTTTCTGGGCCAAGAAATGCAGGAAGGTGGGAAAGCTGATGTGCATGGAATTCATTGGATCATGCCAGCTGCCTCCCACTCGGTTCTCTACCCAGACACTAAAAGCACAGGCCAAGTCTGTGTGTGAATCTGGTATTTTCTGTCTTTGAAGAGTACCCAGCAAATGTACCTGCTAGGGAAAACTAAGCGGGAGTAGAGGTAGTGTAGGAAGCAATGTGAACTACTGAATGGAAGGAGGTGACGTGTGGGGGTGGATGCTGAGCTCCTGGGTGTGGCCTTTTGTAGGTTGCAGAATTCTTGTCATTCCTCGCACCCCCCCCCCCCCCCGCGCCCATGATTCTTTTTGAATAATCACCTGCTACAAACTCATTGTTTTTTAAATTGAATACCAGAAACTGCTTATCTTCCCCACTGCACCTCATGGCTGGGTTTTTATGGAAGACTTTATCCCTCTTCTTTTCCCCTGAAATCATAGTGTTCCCTCCCAACTTCTCATGCCAGAGCCCACCCTTGCTGGATACTCACTGGATGCAGAAGATGCAGGAGAAGACTGTGTCTGAGGATGCTGTGGCAGAGGAGCCCACGGCCAGGGCTCTTTTATCCTGTGTAGTTGGTGATGTCACCTGGGTATGCCCTTGCTTTCACAACCAGAGGAGGTGTTACCTGAACGCATGTTCAGCATTTTTTTTGTAACTTCCATAAAGTCCAGCTAAGGATTGAACCAGGAAGAAGGAAGCTTGTCCATAGGCCTCCCTCTGAGGTCTCCTGGAAACTGATCCCCGTTCCTTCTACCCTTCCTTCCTTCTTTCTACACCCTTTTCTGTTTCCCTCTTTTGGGTCACATGCCTTGGAGTATTGCTTCCCTTGTCATGATAGTGAATGAATTCTTTACCTGCACGCACACACAATATCTTCCAAGAACAAATCTTAAGTGATAAAATATTGTAATGTCCAAAGACCCCATGCTGCCCCATAGACATGGGCAGATGTAATTCACTGCTGTCCCTGAGCTCCAGCAGTGGAGTGCCTGGGAAGTGATGGGGGACTGTGTGGGGCTTTGTTTGATGACAGTCCTTGAATGACTTCATGGCTTTTAACAGTAGCGTGGACTTACTGAGCACAGAGGGACAGAAGAAAGCTGCTAACTTTTAATAGATAAATAATTGTACCACACAGATGGAGATGTTGTTAGTAAACTCATGTGGGTTGAAATCTGACTGAATTATTGTATTATCATGCTATGTGCATAGAAAAACATAATTTTGGCTATAGCTAATGGCTTTAATAATTCACATACAGCTTGAATACTTTGCTTATTAAAATATCAAATCATGTATTTGCATTTTCTTACAGAGAAAAATATTTGCGGCTTTGAACTAACCTGTAAAAAGCAGTTGATGAGCAGTATACACAGTTAATTTTATCTTAATATTAATTCTTTTGTAAATAAAATATATAGTAAGGTATCTCAATATGTATGCCCATTAAACCTATATGATAATTTAGACGATTACATTTTTCTCTCTTTGTTCTGACATTAACTGATGCTAATGCATTGTTTCCATTCTGGGTCAAGAGATGCAGGAAGGAGGGAAAGCTGATGTGGATGGACCCCATTGGATCATTCCTGGTGCCTCTCTTCTCTACTCAAGCAGGCACTAGAGGCACAGGATGAGTCTGTGTGCAAATTCAGCTTTTTCTATATTTGAAGAACATGCAGCAGATGTACCTGTTTGGGAAAAGCAATCTGGAGTACAGGTGTTCCTAGTTATTTATGGCCTTTTGTGGACAGGACTTTCAAAGACTCTTAGGAACGTAGCCCCGGATGGACAAAGTGGAGGAGATAGCAAGGGAAAATTTTGCCTGCATTACTTTCTCTTCAGAAAGAAGCTCTTGGTCCCTGGTGCTTAGCTCAGTCTTAGCCTCATTGCAGCTCACAAGCCATTTCTCTTTCATTGTTGAAAGCCTGTAACTAGATAGTGGATGGGAAAGGGGCTCAGATGAGTCGTGAAAATACAGACGGTTTCCACGGAGCCTCAGTGTTGCAGACCCACGGGAAGAGAATTGTGGAAAATGACGTCTCTGTCCTCAGCAGCTGTGCTGGGCTGAGCGAGCCTCAGCAAGTGCCCATGAATGTGGTCAGGTTCCGTCTTGGTTCTCCTGAGAGCTCTGAGTCCACAACTCATATCCCAATGTAATTCTTCAGGAGTGCCTTGGTATAGAGCGGTGGGCTCAACCTTACTAATGCTGCGACCCTTCGATACAATTCCTCATGTTGTATGACCCCCAAGCATAAGATTACTTTCATTTCTACTTCATTACTGTAATTTTGCTGCTGTTACAAATCACAATGTAAACATCTTGTTTCCCAAGGGTCTTAGGTGACCCCTCTGAAAAAGTTGTCTGACCCTCAAAAGGGTTATAACCCACAGGTTAAGAACTTCTGGTATAGGTGATCACACAGGGGCAGAGGTCAACCAAATAGAGGTGATATTAACAGCACCTTGGAATATAGCCTGACCTCATATGTGACTTCAGACAAACCAGATCCACTCCTTCTTAATGACCATCATTGTCTCTTTTCCTTGAATTTCTTCTCACTTGGTCATTAACTCCCAATGCCTGTCTTCAACTGTGTGTCAACTGTGTGCTTAGCACGGTGACAGAACTGTAAATAGGAGGTCCAGCTTGTCCTTGCTGGTGCATTATTATCACCCAAGGGAAGTGTACCAAATGATGGACTGCAGCTTTGGTGCACATAAAAGAGAAATTATAGGTTCTGTGGGGTAAGAAAGGTCTTAACCTCATTAGGGATTCGGATCTTTGGATAATTGAATAGCTTTTCAATTGGCTTATTGTTCTATAGAAGCAGTTACAAAGACTCCTTTTGGCTTAGAGAGGGTTAATCTTGAGTCATAAGGGCAGCAACAGGAACAGTTCAATGGCTGGTCAATCACAAGACTTCTGGGTGACTCAGTGGGGGAGAAGAAGCTGCTAATTCCTATAAGCCAGTAGGGCATTGAAGTCATGAGCTGGGGCAAGAAAGCCTGACCCTGGTGGGCTGTGTCACCAGGGCTGTCTGGCTGGCTTCTGTGACCATGTGACACACCTCTGTGTAGATTCTGAACAATAATGCACAGTCTGTTTGTGACTGCTTGAGCTGTTGGTCCTTCTTAGCTACTATGATTTGGGCAAATACAGTTAATGTGATCTCACCTTGCACATCACGTCACAGATACGTCCAGAAGACACTCATGTTTCTAAAAATACACTTCTGTATAGATGTAAAAAACTTCAGACAGGACATCAGTTCTAGGAAAGTGTGTGAAGTCGCTGAGACAGGGCCTCACATCAAAATAAAGGGAAGCTAAAAAACAGGGAATCATTTCCACAGAAACAAAGAAGTGACTTACCAAAAGTCAGTAGCAATCCATCAAAAAGAAGTTTCAACAAATAAATAGCAAAAAGGCACATCTTCGTTTTGAGAAAGGCAGAAAAGCCTTATGACTAACAAGCTGGGCAGTGAAAATGAGCCCTTGGTTCCCAAGATGGAGAGCAGTTCAGATGTAGATCTATGATGCTTAGTGCCCCAAGTTAGACCTAGAATACATTTCAAACAAAGATACTAAGGTAGTTTACTGGAGGAAGGATGTGTTAGCATGGATGGGAGAATGTGTCACAAGACCGCACCTCTAGATGAAGAGCTACAGGCAATCAATGGCTGCTAAGGGAGGTAAAATCAGATATTTTGTTTTTGTGTGTGTATGTGTGTTTTTCCGTTTTCCTTTTTCTCCCTAAGGGCCGAGACCCAATCTTAATCAGTCATATCTAAACACACGCGAATCTAGGCAATAAGAGGTGAGCTCAGTAGGTTGTGTGTGTGTATGGGGGTGGCGGTGGTATGTGAATATATGAACATGATGGGGTCATGAATTTGAGAGAGGATAGTCATGGTCAAGGGACAAGGGAGGAACTGGAAGGGAGTGTGGAAAGGATTCAAATGATCTCATGTAGAAATCTTCAAACAAAATAAAATAACACAAAATTTTTAAAAAGGTGCTGAAGCAATTGGGCATCTTTATATTAAGCAAAACATATTTAGTACTGTATGTTTATACATTTATACACATATTTCATATATGTATATATATGAAAGGCATGGATAATAGATTAATGTATAAAACAAAAACACTTCTAAAATATAATAAAGGACATAATTCTGTGACTTTAGTTATGTAATTCTTAATGGTAATTTTTCATATATGACAAAAAAGTCATAGTTCAAGAGCAAAATACTGAACTTCACAATTAAAACTACTGAGGTAGTGGTACGTGATTCAACATGCCTGTAGTGGTACATTACTAATTTCAGTACTCGTGAGACTGAAGCAGAAAGATCTTGTGTTTGAGGCCACCTTAGGTTACAATGAAAAGAGAGCAGAGAACAAACTAAATAATTAAAACTTCTGCTTTGCAAGTGACTGTTGGAGAATACATAATTAAAATTCACAAGTTCAAAAACTTGTAAAGCATGAGTCTGATTGAAGGCTTGAGTTTAGAATATTCTAAAAGCAGCAAAACACATTAATAACTGGGGGGGAATATCGAAAGAGAATGATATTTCAACAAAGATGATCCATGGATGACAAATCCGCTCAGGGCTTTACTCATTAGGGAAATGCAATCAGGAGCGAAATGACAGACGAACTGCACAGGTCACCAGCTAAACTAAAGCTCTTACCTGGCAGTGTGGAATCCTGCCGAGGCTGGGGAGTGGCTAGCATCAGCCACTGCTGGCAGGAACATAAAATTTTACTGCTATATTGGAAGTTTCTTTAAAAGGGTCCTTACCAATTAAACATATGCTCGCTGTTTCTAAAATTTAGTATTTATTCAAGGAAAACAAAATCATAGTCATAGAAAATCTCAGTGCTGATAAGTGTAGTGCTTAATTGCTTCAAACTCAAAGTCTCTTGAATGATATTCAACGTGTGAATGGATTAAGGAAAAACATGGTATGTGTATGTATATATGCATATATATGTGTATATATAGATAAATATGCATATGTATACAGATATATGTATATGTATATGTGCATATATACATACACACAATGAAATGCTATTTAACAATGAAGAAAGAAACTATTGACTTATAAAACAACAGGAACAAATCTAAGCTCAAGAAACCATACCTTAAATGCTATTCTCTTCTTCTCCCCCACCCCCGCTACACGCATTCACGTGGGCACACACACACACACACACAAAAAAAAATGAGTTTCTATAGAAACAAAATGCCTGTGTCCAGCCAAAGAAACAAGGAAGAGTCAGAACAACTGATAGGGTGGGAAATATATGTGAATGATACACCCTCTGAAGAGTTAATATACTAGTATATTAAGAATGCAAAGATCTCAGCCAGGTGATGGTGGAGCACATCTTTAATCCCAGCACTCGGGAGGCAGAGATAGATTTCGAGGTCAGCATGGTCTACAAGAGCTAGTTCTAGGACAGAAAGAACTGTCTCAAAAAATAAAAATAAAACAAAACAAAAAACAAGAAACCAAACAAAATAAAACAAAACAAAAGAATGCAGAGATCTCAATAGCAAGG